GATGTTTCAGAAAAGGAGACATACACCCCCACCCCCATCCACGCCTCACATCCACACCCACACCCCACATAACACTCCGATTTAAATCCGAGGTTTTCGCATTTATTTATAATACGATTTATTCAGCGATTCACTTTTATTAAGTAGCATTAAAAAATGACTTTCTATAGATTCAATTATGTTATTAGTATCTATCAGTTTTCTTTTTTTCTAATCTCAATCATGATTATTGAAAGTTGGTGATAGTACGTACAATATTGACTAATATATTTTCGATCGCATTCAAAAATAGCTCTAGAAATATGTTATTGTGAAGAGTAAAGTCCTACAGGGTAAGACTTTTTTTTGTACCCTAACACTGCAGTATTTTAGCGGAGAATAAGCGGAATTATTTGCCAAATTGATATTACATGCATTTATCTCAGTTTCAGAATTTTGACGAAAATCGACTTTTTTTGAAGGGGAGAGGCTTAAAATAAATCTTACCTTGTAGTATATACTGGTAGCACTTAGACGCGTAATAATATAATAATAATAAATTAATTCAAAATCCCGGTTCATATCAGTAATTTAAAGATATTGTGATTAGATAATATAATGTATTAACATAATGAAGTTACTAACTCTCGATGAAATCATACATCAGTTAAATAGATACCCAGTCGGACTTGCTCCTAGTTAACTAGCATTCATGCATACCTAATGCACTCCTAACTCTATATACCCTATAATGATTTATGGATGGTATCCCTATATACTGCATAATGGCTTACGAACAGTATCCCTATTTATTTGATAATGAGTTGAGTTATATAGATACCCAGTCCGAGTGGATACCCAGTTAACTGGCACTGGTATATACCTAACTGAATACGATTTCCAGGTAATGCAAATGAATGTTGAAGATAACTTCTTTGTCGTCCAATCAGAGACTCATTGTTTGTTTCAAGTGGATAAGGCTGCATCCAAAGTTGCTCTTGTTCTGAACCCAAATCGGGTATTGATGTTCGAGTCTAACATGCGACAAGATAATTGTATCTACAACCGTAGCACGACACATTTGGTGTACAAAATAGCAAGCATAAACCAGCAGTAAAAATAGGAGAACTATATCCTTCAAATACAACATCACATTCACAGTTTATTGGTCTCTCACTATTGAAAGCACTATGCTAGCCTTCTTCTGTTAAAAGCAACATTTTAGCATTGACTCTCCATTACACAATTTATCGAATGGTGGTCATACGAGTTTCGATGTAATATAATGAATACTACTGATATAAGGTACCAAGCTTCATATTCCACAAATTGTAGCAAATGATCCGCAATCCGTACCACTGCTGCTTTGCAATTATGATAAACATCATTGACATACTCTGCTGAACCTATTATATCGTTTACAAGTACTAGACGTTCAATGGGGAGCTTGAGAAAAAAAAAGTAACGCATGACATCGAGAGGTTCGAGATCATCGATGAAACTTTGTAACAGTTGAGGAGAATATTTGCTAATAATTAAGAATAACATTAATATCCAACAAATCCTCAGCGACAGCATCCTTCACAGAATGGTGTAGAGAATGCTTATGTATATATATATACATGCATAGAAGTGTCATTGGCAGATGGGAAATAAATTATGACTCATCGTTTTTCAAGTAATATCTAATTACACACATTCATGTTAATTTAAAACAGAAAGGCACCTTTTCTTTGGTTTTCAAGTATAACTCATTATTCTTGGATTTGGGTGTGGCAGTCTGTATGGACGAAGAGAAGAGTGAGACTCAAACAGAAACGACAGCTGTGAAATGCCAGAAGGTAAGAGAAAGTTTTGAAATACTCGGTCGCCTCTATACCATTGTTTACACAAGACCTAGCACTACAACTATTCGATGGATCGAAATTGGTGTCACATGTCACTTTTTTCCTAGTTCCCTGGCAAGTTCTGCAGGTGATTTACTCTTTAACGATAAAAATAGACTGTATGGGTCTGTGAATATGAGTGTTGAAGAATAATATACCCGCATGCTTATACTCACACCCTTACTCATCTACGACACATAGTAACATCTGCATCAACAGCCACATCCTGAGATTGCAAGCTTTTGCTTTGAGAAATGCTGCTTTTAATGAAAATGAACGATTTTTGTAATTTGATGAAATCTTTAATAGAAAAACGAAGCATTTATACTAGGATTTGGTTCCATTTTAAGTCGTTATTTTTATTGTTGAACTTCCTCTCCTTTCCCTCTATTGACATAGTCAATCTAATTTTACAATGCATTATGAAGAATGTTCTACATATGTTCCTTCGCCGTGTCTGAGATCTATACGAAAAAACAAAGTTTATGCTTGAGAGAGGTGAGTAGAAGACTCTAAGTCATACATCATCTAGGAGGACTCAAATACTACTGAACAAAATACTCATTGTGTATGTAGCTAATTGTAGCTATTTTTTTTCTTTTGCATTGTCCATTAAAAAACATTCGCGACAAGTCGATCAATACGTTATTACGACAGAGATTCTGACGCTCACATCCATGAAATTACTCTGTGTTCTTTTTACAAAGAAGCTGTTTTCTACCAGAAAACACTCTAGAAAATCATAGATATTTAAAAACAAGGATGTGATAGTGAGATGCTCTTATCGGAGTTTTTCCAGTTTGATCCCAATCTGAGAGAGACGGCTGCTACCAATCCAATTACAGATTTCTTGCTTTCAAATTCTTTTGTTTTCAAGTTTTTCAGCTGAAATTTCTCATTTCTTGACTTGATTGTTTTCAATCCTGTCCGCTTTCCTTTTAGTTTTCACTTACTTTAATACACAAAATCATATTACTCTAAATCTGCTCATGGCTGCTGACTTGCACAACTTCTTCTACGATCACTCTATGACTTTTGACAACTCTTCTCCCTCGCTAGTGGCAAACTAATATGTGAACAGTTCGCTCCCTTATTTCTACATCTGTGGATATTAAAGATCAATGTAGTTTATCATTATACAATTCATAATCAATACTGAAGAATAAGTACGGTTAAGATTAGGATGTTGTATAAATTAAAGCAGATTGAATCGTAATAAGCAAATCGAGTTTCTTCTTGCATACAAAAGTATTGAAAATAAAATGTGCTTATAGTGAAGAATTTTAAGTAAATGGTACACAAAATACGAAGTATCCAATAACCGATTACAAGTGATACCTTATCAATTCGAAGTATTGTCATAAAAAGCCTGAATGATGAGAGGATTTTATCTCAAAGAATAAAAAAAGCAAGAAATGATGTTATTAACATGTATTTTTGTTTTGTTTTAGACAACAAATTCATGACTCTAGTTTATTGAATTGGACAAATTTTATTCAATTCATTCGATTAAACATATTAGCAAACAATTTTCACAAAATTTAGAGATCGAATAGAAGCGGTGCACTATGATGACTACGTTTCAACAAAAGAACTGATTGACAATAATTATTTATGATTTGAAGTTTAATTAATAATGAAAGAATGCAAATTACTTATGCAAGCAGTGATTTTTATCAACATACTGTGAACATTGATATATTCTTGTCGACACAAGTCAAGCAGTACGACAAATTATGTATTAGCAGAGTATTCAAGTTCATGGTAAATAAAGTGACTGTTATTGTGAATACATAGAGATACAACATAATACCAAAATTCCTTAAGGCAAACAGACTGCGAATATTCATTTTCATTGTTTACATGCACAATTTATTTTTTGTTGGATGTGGGTGTACATGTGACTTGTCCATTAACCTTCACCGACATCCTTCCCTATGGATAATCTTTGTTGTTTCAGTACCAGATTCTTAACAGACATGATCAGGATCCGACAAGGATATGTGTGGATGTATAGTGTGAACGTTGGCGAGTTGTACATTGATTCTATCACATTCTTTATCCACACCCACATTCTCAAAATCAACATAGGGAACTTGGTCGAATGAATGGAATAAAATTTGTCCAATTCAATAAACTAGAGTCATGAATTTGTTGTCTAAAACAAAACAAAAATACATGTCAATAACATCATTTCTTGCTTTTTTTATTCTTTGAGATAAAATCCTCTCATCATTCAGGCTTTTTATGACAATA